TTTTCAAGTGGGATAAAACTTGTGGATAAGTTATGACAATTTTTCTTCAACACATAAATAAAAATACATATATTTGTATGTTAATAATTAGGAGCTTCTTTGTTTCTTACTACACTCAGTGGCATTTTTATTCTGAAAAAAGCCTAAAGTTAAAGTAAAAATGTTTAAAGTCCCTTAGAGAATCATCATCATAGATTATACAGGGTAATTCTAAATTGATTTTACAAATTAAGAGGGGTGATAGTACTTATACAGATGAGCAATAATTACCATAGAACATAGGGTTGCATTCAGAGGCGTAGCGAGGGGGGGGCAAGGGGGTGTATGATGCCCCGGACGCCGCCGAATCCAATGCTAGTGTAGTTTGGTATTGACTATTCTTAATATATTTAGAGTATTTTATGGCAGATTCAGCATTTTATTATTACGAATATATTCTATAAGGAATTTCTCCCCGCCTTCTTGGTGAGGTGGTCTGCACGCTGGGCGTGTGTTTCCAGAGATCTGCGATTCGATTCCCGGCGAAGGCATTGCATATTTTTCCTCTTTTCTGCTTCCAAAAAATCCTAATGTCTCTACAATTCTGTACATTATATTACTGTAAGTGTTTTTTTTTGGGGGGGGAGGGGGCGCCGAAAAGTTATTTTGCCCCGGGCGCCAGTTATGCTCGCTACGCCACTGGGCAGAAAAGAAGAATATTAGAATTCCAACCCGAACTTATAACAGTGTTGGGGGAGCAAATGAATGAGACCAAAAGTGTCGCAATCAGTTTAATGATGAAAAACTCACAGAAAGTGCACAAAACGGATAAAACCGAAAACTTGGCTTTCGAGTGTTAATTCGAGCTCAGACTTTGATGGCAAACACTCAAATGCACATTTTGGTTGGCAGGGTCTCAACTTCGCAAACGATTGCAACAAGTTAATTATCTAATCAAGGACTGAATATTATCAACTAATTTCAACTTTTGCTGCATGCCGAGATTAGAATGAAAAGTTCATGCTGTGTTTCGGCTGTCAGAACTTAGTGTCTCATAGAAGAGCGCTTCAAGTAGAATGAGCGCAGCAGAGTAAGTCCAGAAGAACAGTATAGAAGATGGCGAAGGGGGAAAATCTGCTACCTTGATAGTATCAAACCTACCTTTGAGTTGGAGTTAGTTGATAATATTCAGCCCTTGATTGGGTAATTAACTTGTTGCGATCGCTTGCGAAATTGAGACCTTGAGAACCAAAGATGTGCATTTGAGCTTTTGCTATCAAAGTCTGAGCTCGAATTAACACTTGAAAGACAAGTTTTCGGCTTTATCCGTTTTGTGCAATCTCTGTGTTTTTTCACTAAATTGATTACGTAACTTTTGATCTCGTTCATCCGCTCTCCCAACACTGTTGTAAGTTCCAGGACTTAGAAGAGAAGGGCTAGCTCATAGAGCTTTTCCCCCTGAAGCAGAAAGTGAGAAGTGATGACGTAGCCATGATGACACTGAGCGCGCCAATATAATTCACAGCTTGGAAATTAGCGTTTTTGAACCAGCGTTTAAAATGAGCTGTGTGTGAAAGATAGCTATAATTTGGAAGAGGCAATGTTACTGCTTTATGCATTTTAGACTGAACCATTAAAAAATTTAATAATGCTTACTCAATTTTAAAATAATAGATAAAATGTGCTACTCTTTTAACATAAAGTTCCGTGGTTTTTTTTTTTTTTTTATTTTTTTGCAGGTTTTTTTTTTATTTAATGCACGTTTATTTCTAATCATTTCTTTATTTGCATGCTAACTGAGAGAATTTTTATACTGCTTCTAAGATAACTATAATAGCAGCTATTTAAATTTACTCAAAAAACAACTTTACATTGACATAGGTTTAAACATATATGACATATATGGCAACATTTCTGCTAACCTACGTTTGATTTTTTGCCTAATTGTAAATTTTACATTGTTATAATTCTCTTCCGATTCAATATAATAGATATTTTTAAAATAATTTTGTAATTTATACTTATATCTATATTACAATAAATAAATGTATATAAGATTGTTACCTTAATTTTGACAAAATAGCTTTATTCAGAGTACCTAAAACAGTTATTTAATTTTTCAAAAGTGTGAGTAAAGGAAGCAGGTCTTTTTATGCCAATTACTTTGATGTTTTATACTATTATATTTTATCTAGAATGCTAATCTAGCACAAAATCTAATCAATAATTAGTTACAAAGGATACAATAAGAATAACTTTAACAAGTACTTAACAAAATTAGTTTGTTAAATACTTGTTATTCTTGTTGGTACTATTTTGGTACTATTCATAATACCGAAGATATTATCGATTAACTCATAGAAGTCAGATGCTTTTCTGATTTCCTGTGGGGTAGAGTATACCTTTTGCGGTACTTTTTGAAAATAATGTTTTCTCTGGAGCGACTTTTTGTCTCTCGTTTCCCTTGACCATTAAATAATTTGGTTTTAGTTTTGTGACACAATTTGATTTCTTCTCAATCTCTATTTAAAACCTCTTTAATAATACAAAATTTTAAACAGTTACATCTTCTAAAACAAATACTCTATCTAAAACGCGGTTTCTCAGTAATTTGAGGCAGAGCGCGAAATGAGACCTCTGATTAAAACAAACTGCACATTTTGAAAAGAAACCTTTTGCGGTACTTTTTGAAAATAATGTTTTCTCTGGAGCAACTTTTTGTCTCTCGCTTCCCTTGACCATTAAATAATTTGGTTTTAGTTTGTGACACAATTTCATTTCTTCTCAATCTCTATTTAAAACCTCTTTAATAATATTAAAATTTTAAACAGTTACATCTTCTAAAACAAATCCTCTATCTAAAACGCGGTTTCTCAGTAATTTGAGGCAGAGCGCGAAATGAGACCTCTGATTAAAACAAACTGCACATTTTGAAAAGAACCAACTTAGTCCAGTTTAGAGTCATAGCAGAGTTTTCAATCTATATGCATTTCGTCGAAACTGAGAACGCATATTTTTTCTACAGAATACAAATATTCGCCTCTTTCCTTCTTTAGAGTAAGAACATTACTTTGAATTCTTGGACTACACTAAAATTTAGAAAACACTAAAAAATAAAATAAACACCATTTCTTTAATTTGATAATACTAGGTAAAGATATTCCAATTTTTTTCTTAATTTTTTTCTTTCCAAAAATCATAGCTTTAAGATGACAGAGCTCTTATGACAATGCAACGTGAAATATTTTCACTAGTCCACCTGATTTTTTTTTCTTTTTTTCAGTAATGCATTAATCTGCGTCTTTATAAAAATAGGCTTTAGACATTTTTCCAAATTCTCCGATTTGTGCTCCCCCCCCCCCAAATTTCGCTATTTGAGATTTTAATTTCTGATACCAATTTCTGTCTAGATGTCGTCCACCTTCTTTGTCGCTGAACAAACATTCTAAAATTTTTCTTTTCTCTATTTTTCAATACTTTAATACAATTTAATACAATTTTCTAAGGATATTATTTTGTTCTTCAAATTATCAATGCATTCTTGTTTATCCTTAAACATTCAGGATGATATCTACATTTTCATTTGTGAGTTTTATTTCAAAATCATTAAAATTTGATTTATTATTGTCATCATCAATTTCGATTTATTATTGTCATCATAATTTACTTTCGGCACAGCATTCCATTTCAACAGTTTCTTTTTGTGGCTATCCAAACAAGCGATTTTTCATATCATCTTCATAAACACTGCATAGAAAATGTTCGCTGCAGATTTTTCCGCTCTTCACATTAATAGAATCTTCTCTTTGACATTTGTGTATCCATTCTTTCGTCAAAAGCAAACTCTCATTTGGATCCTTTGGTCCCATGAAATAAAATATCTCATCCTTTCATACTTCTGTAAGTGCTACGGCACGTTACTGCAGCGCAAAAAAGCCATATTACGTAAACGATACTTTACAATATAGAATTTAAAATAAAAACTGACTAAAATTACATATATATAAATTATTTTAAATATATACTTTATTAGAAAACAGATATATATATATATTAATAAAATTAATTTGGGATATGTAACCTCTAGAAAATCGTCTCGCAGCTCAATGAAACTACTGTTTTAAACGCGGGAAATCAGGACAGGTGGCATCACAGTGACGTCAGATTATTGCCTGTTACGTCCCCCCACTAGGCTCGCGTCGGCGAGGAGTCGAACAAAGAAATGAGCTAGCCCTTCTATTTATCCCTGTTTAAGTTCAGGCTGGAATTCTAATATTCCTTCCTCCCCCTCACAGTGGAATATGACGCTATGTTCTATGGTAATTATTGCTCATCTGGATGAGTACATCATCCCTCTTAATTTGTAAAAACAATTTAGAATCACCCTGTAGATGCTGATATGTCAGTCAGGTTCTTTTGTAATTAATTTATAACTGAAGAAGTACTGCTCAGTTGTAAATGGATTGCCAAATAAAATTATTATTCTTAGTGCAAAAATTCGTTATTGAAATACTTATCTTTTCACAGCTACAAAAAAAAAAAAAAAAAAAAAAAAAAGTTTATGAAATCTGTATTTTTAGATCTTTGAATAAGCTTTATATCACACTATAAATTAATTAGTTCGTTTTATAGACTTTTCTGGTGTGCAGTTCATGTTCATTTTTAATAGTAATGAAACTATTGTAAACTCTTACTTGTGGCATGAGGATTTTCGAATAGCCATGTTATGTGTATATTAAACCAAACGAAAATTGCTGGGAAAAAAATTCATATTTGTGTAGTAACACAGCAAAAAAATTACAGCATTACTTCTTACCCACAATTATAGCGTAAAGTTGTTTCGGACACTTTATATAAAACTACAGTATTTTATTGGTGATGTTTCGTGTAATTTTTATTTATTTATTTATTTATTTTTTCCAGTTACATATATTATCATGCTAAATAGAGAGAGATATCACTTATTTTTATTCCATATTAACATATATATGCATAAAGAAAACGAACAACTGACATTAAAATTTTTTTGTTTATTTGCATAAATGTTTATGTATTGTACTATTTATTATTCTTAATACACAATTAGCTTCTTGGTCTAAAATTAACTCTTATTTCCGTGTGGTTACTTTAAATCTCTACATTTATTCTATCTCTTCGATTAAAAGTTTTTCGCTCTGTGAAGTCAGGTCGGGACTTTTCGTGACAGTGCGCCGTTGAAATAGCAAAGGGCAATCTTCATCCAGTCTTTTTTCTCTGTCATTTTTGTAATGTTTTATTTTCCAGAGTGACGTCTTCGTCTGGTAGGGTGTTTCAGAAGTTCTTTCCATCTGTAAAATATTAATTACCCCATTAAAAGAAGAGTTGCGGATGAAATCTAAGTTTCTAGAACACAAATTAATGTAGAAGTATAACAGTTTCTATAATCATACTCTTTTGTTGTGTTTAATTATATTATTATAATACTAATTAATCTCATGTGTCATATAGCATATGGAAAGTGCTATATATCAAAGAAAATTTAAAATTATGGACGTCTAGTCTTTGTATTGTCGTACCTCTCATATATATATATATAGAGAGAGAAAGAGTAATATGTAATTTAAATTACTTCAATATCCATTAATGGTTACGTTCAAAGTTGATGATATTTAAAGAGCAGTTAGCTGATCCGCATATAGCTGTCTATAATTTTTTCGACAGTAGGAAAAAAAAATTGGATACAGTTTGATTCTTTTCCACCCGAAAATTTGTATAATATCGAATTAAAAAAAAACTTGTTTTCAAAATTGATTGAAGCAGGTAATTCATTGTGGAAATGCATTCACAATATCTAATATTTAGTATTATTCTAATATCTGTGCTTTCATGGAAGCCTATTAATTCCTTAATGCACCAGTAAGAGGTTCCCTCTCACACACTTTTTTTTATTCTTTATTTTAACTGAAAACTGCAGCAGATATGTTCTGTTGTATTCATATCTGGGGCTGGGGATCTTGAGCTTATTTAACGTGGGTGTGTGGAAATAATGTAGTTTGTGTACTCAAGTAATCTTGGTTAATTAATTAAGAAATTAATGTTTTTGGCAAGGGATTTCATGCAATCTCTGCTCGTATTCTTAAGAAATTTAGCTGGGTGATTGCCTAGAGCTTTATTTCTCCGATTAAGACTGCCAAAAACGAAAATCCAATGAAACCTTGAATTAGTTTTCTATTTTTTAAGCAACCAACCACCTAAAATAGTTACCATTACAAAGAAAAAGTGTAGAAGGATTTTAATGAGTCCAGATGGTATCATTTCATAAAAAATATTTAATATTTCTAAATAGACATCTTAGGATTTAAATTCATTTTTATTAAATCAATCAGATTAAAAAGTGCTGCTTAGCCGTTATAGTGGTTAGTTATGCTGATTGCCCTACCAAAGGGTTTGAGCCAGGAAAAGGCATGGATCTTTTCCTGGCTCGAAAAAGAGCCAGTAAAAGATCCATCCTTCCATGGATTAATATTTTACAGATGGTTCGTGGAAAAGGCATGGATGCTTGTAAATGTATAGTCTCTCTGTAGTACTGACACGCTCAAAATATGCAGCGAGCTGAAAACTATTTCGAGAGAAAGGGGCGAACTTCGAACCCATCCCCTTGGATTCTATCCTTCAAAATTGGGGCGAAACAGGACAACGTCATTTTCACCGATATGGTGCTCAAGGCTCATGCCAACAAAAATGTAATCTTTCAGCGCTTGCCGTGATGAAATTCATGAGCTTGTTCTGACTAGGCCAGACAAGTAAGCTTAGCCACAAAAATAAAAAGTAAAAAAATGTATTCTTAAGCATTTATTGCTTTTAAATCGCTTGGTTTGTTACTCAGTAACAGGCAGATATTTTATTTAATGGCCGGGCGCTTTAATCAATAGCCATTAGCCTCGTGCCACTATAAGGAAGTGGTGGCCATCTCATTATGAAATCACCTAATATGCGGCCACCGTTGTCTCCTATGAAGAGACGGACAGTTACAACCATGTCTTCTCTGGAGTTCGAAGCCGGACCGCATATAAGCATTTTGTATCGCACCATGAACATAGGGAAAAATCCCTCCTCGTGATTGGATATGGCTTCTGATGACATCATCTCCTCCTTAAATGCTTAAATGCTAATTGCTTATGCTTATATTAGCCCAGTTGGGCTTTAATAAGCTATATTGATCTAATCCCCTAAGGACAATTAGAGTGTCAACTATCAGCTAGTTCCCAAGCGGGAAATCGGACCAGGTAAGGAAAAGAGGGCCCATCGGCCACAGTGACAAAAGTCCAATCATCAAAGTAACTTAACTCTCACCCCTGAGACAAGAGTAATAATCACGTGTATGGAGCTGTGAAGATGCAAAAGAAGGAAAATACATGAAATGTGCATAAGATACACTGTTAAACATGTAATAAACAAAATGAAAGTGAAGTAATGTACGCATGAAAATGTGTTATTTACATATTTAAAAATGAGTGGGCTAAGTGACAAAATTGGGATCCCTCATTCAGTGAGCCGTAAAAGGCCTGATATTGTAGTCCTAAGGAATTCAGACATAGTTCAGTACAGCATTAACGTTTCCTTTACTGCAATTCAAACCTTTGTCAAAGAACTTCCTGTTAAGTTTTTGCAGATATTTCTCAATATATTCAACTTGTAAATCATCGTGCAGGAGTTTGTTACGGATGTAAAAATGCGCTCTTGTAATGGTGCGTAAGATTGTGTTTTGAGTCATCTGCAATTTGTTGATATCTGAGCTCGTAGCAGTCGCCCAGACAGGGGACGCATAACATATAATTGGTCGCAAAATAGAAATATAAATCTGCCTTTTCCTTCTCAGATCTAACTGCGAATTACACCCTAGCAGTACTTGTGATTGTTGAGCAACTCCTCTGGTCTTGTTTGCAATGTAATTGACATGCGTACTCCACGTGAGTCTTTGATTCAAGTAAACACCTAAATACTTGGCCTTGTTTACCATCTGGACACGTTGGCCGAATAGGTAAAGGGGCTGAACTGACACCAGTATTTTCTTCCTTCTAAGTAGAAGTAGCTGTGATTTAGTCGCTTGACTCCATTTCCTTTGTTTTTTAATCTGTAGAGGACTTTAGCTAAATTCTTGTTGAGGTGAAATTCAGATTCTAGTGCATCGAAAAAGAGGGTCTGGCCGTAGACTGTGCTACTCCCGAAGATCTTGAGAAACTTACCAAAAAACTACAGGGTACCCAAGGGAAGCAACAGTTACGACTAAACTACCTTCTACTAGACTTCCCAAAGTTGCCATCCACGACGTACACTCAGCAGTTTCCCAGGCAGACATCGAAAAAGCACTAGAATCTGAATTTTACCTCAACAAGAATTTAGCTAAAGTCTACAGATTAAAAGACAAAGGAAATGGAGTCAAGTGGGTCCTGGAATGCACACCACCAGCATATCATCAACTCATTCAGTCCCCAAGAATGTACCTCGGTTGGCGAGCACATCGAATCGCAGAATTTTATAATACACGAAGATGTTACCGCTGCCAGGAATTCGGGCACACCCAACAGAACTGTAAAAACAAGATCTATTGCGCGTTCTGTTCTGGCAGCCACAGCATTAAAGACTGCAACGCCCGCCAACCCACCTGCATCAACTGTGCAGACTGGAACTATAGGAGCCACAATAAGACACTCTGCGCACATCCAGCCTACGACGTCACATGCCCTACATACGGAAGGTACATTGCACGAATCAAGCGTAGCACACAGTACGATTAATGGTACCCCTGACATCCCAAACAATATGGCAAGCAACACTACGCAGTCAAACGACACTGTAAAATGTATACAAATCAACCTTCAAAGAGCACGAGCCGCAACTTCACAGCTTATCCAGCACGCAATTACGCATGATGCCGACGTACTTCTACTTCAAGAACCCTACACCAGAGAAGGGGAAGTTGCAGGTCTTCCAATTGGCTGGACACTCTTTCAACAGAAATCCGTTCCCCAAAATCAAGCCCCAAGAGCAGCCATTGCATGCTGCAATCCCTCCTGGTCCCCCATAGTTATTAAACAAGAACGCGACATAGTTGCCATACTACTAGCCCTTCAAAACTTTCGTCTCATCCTCATCTCTGTTTACTCACCACCTTCTGAAGATATTATGAATCTCACCACCAACGTCCTTTATGTCATGCAAAGATATCCCTCAACTCCGATTTTCGTAGGAGGTGACTTTAATGCCCATAACAGCATATGGGGCTACGCGGATACTAGCACAAAGGGCCAAGAACTGGAAGACTTTGTGGCTTGTCATGACCTCCACCTCCTCAACACTCCAGACGCTCCACCCACTTACGATAACTCCTACAATACTGGCTGGCCAGACCTTACTCTCTGCACGCACAACATCGCACGTAAAATTCAAGATTGGACAGTAAATGAAGAAGAGAGTAACTCAGACCACAAGTACATACATTTCTCCATCAGCTGCGACACCACCATTTCTGTTATTACCAGGTTTAAGCTCCCAGGCAATAAGATCCGGCACCTCACCTCCTCCTTCTCCACCATCTTACATAACGAAGAAAGAAAACTTCACAGCATTAACAGTCCAGCCGACATGGAATTATTCACCAATCAACTCCTGGCGACACTGAAAGACATATGCCACAACATTCTGCCTACCCGGTCCGCGACGAAACTACAAGGAGTCTACAAGGAATAGTTCACGAATAGTTCACTACAAGGAGTCTCTTGGTGGACCAAGGAGCTTCGCACACAGCGACAAAAATGCAGAGCCCTTAGACGTCGCATCCGCACTGCAGACAACAAATTTTGCTGGCATACAGGAAAGAGAGAGCCCTTTACAAAAATAATATTCTAACAGCCAAAATTACTAGTTGGAGGAACTATTGTACAGATAATAATAACCCATATGGCATCCTGCACAAACTTACCACCGGCAAAGTCTTTCGCCCGGCACAGATCCATATCCAGACTCCAGCACTGGCCGATAATACCAACATAGTGGAACACACTGCCAGCAAAATCCTGAGCACTATATTCCCTGATGACAACCCAGAGGAGGACACGCCCTCACAGCGTATCATCCGCGAAAATGCAAGCACTCCCACCACCTCGTATGATATTCCCTTCAGTAGCAGTGAGATTAGACACGTCTTCAAACTCCTCCCGCGCAAAAAGGCACCAGGCCCAGACGGCCTCGACTATGCTATCATCAAGGTGGCCTACAATGCATGTCCATCATTCTTCAGCACCTTCTTCAATAGACTTCTTCATCTACAAATTTTTCCACAGGCCTT